CAATGATGAACCCTTTCTAATTTTATTAATATTTTATTTATGACAATAAAATTAATAGTTTCAGGTTCCAAAGCCAACTCTACCCATACTTTTTTTTTTTAATCAATCAATTGTGTCTTTCAACAATATCCAACAAAGTTAAGATTTTATGTAATCAAGTGTTTATCAGGATAACTGAGAGAAGGGTGGAGAAACATACTGTAAATACTGAAGTACATTTTTGTGACTATACCTGGAGGGTTGTATCAAATGTATTCTGAAGAGTACAATAAAAATCAAAAGTTTAGGGCCGGCCCAGTGGCGCACTGCTACAGTGCACCGCTTGGGAGTGCAGCGGCGCTCCCGCCGAGGGTTCGGATCCCACATACAGACCGGTTCCCGCTCACTGGCTGAGCGAGGTGCGGGCGCAGCACCGAGGGTTGCAATCCCGTTGCCGGTCCCGGTCCAGTACGGGCACGACACTGAGGGTTGCGATCCGTTGCCGGACACGAAAAAAGACAAAAAAGGAAAAAAAAAAAAAGTTTACCATAGTGAGTCAATGGATCTCTGACTAGATACAAAACAGAATGCATTTTTTAAAAAAATTTAAAGTATTCTTTAAGTTCAACTCCATGACAGTCCCATGTTTTGAAAATGGTAAGTCCTTTATAGTCACAACCTTGACACTGTGCTCATTTGTGGAGATAAAAAAGGGTCAAGGAAAATATCCATTTTATGGTCATTGAGGGGAAAGTCATTATAACTCACTACATTCAGGAATATCATATGCCATGGGACTGTTAGCCACTCTATCTCAAGCCTAAACCAAAACAAGCAAACAAAACAAAACAAATACAACAAAAAAACACAATAGAAAAATCACAGAAAAAGAAAATGATTACATTTTTACCAATTTTTGAATTTGCCTACAAAGTGCCACTTCAGAGATCAACACTACTCAAAAGTAGCCACTCAGCTCCCTCAGTGACATGTTGGTTAAGAGTCCCAGTGAGATGAGGAATTTGCAATGAACATACTGAAAAAATGTCTTCATCAAGAAAGTCTTGCTGCAAACAAAAAGTCAGTTAAACTAAAAAGCATGCTTAGTGCCTTATTTGCTTTATAATGTGGCACACATTCCATATCTCATAGTAAACATAGTAAAGTAACAATTCAAAAACAGGCACTGGTGCACGGACCATGCTTTGAGTTCCATGCAGGTCACAGCCACAGTGATGTGAGCAGACTTTCTTAGTAGTACTGTGCTAGGAAACTAATCCAGAAATCCAGTTTCTGATTAGTTTATGAGGCTTCTAATTAGAAAAAGAGTAAGAGGAATAAAAACAGATGGGCACCAAAGAAGCAAATATTTTCTCTCTTCATTCATTGTGCTACTAACGTCAAACCTTTATCGCATGTCTAATTTATTCTTTCTTTCCTTGATAGTCCCTCTCAATATTAACTTCCCCCTATTAAAAAAAATAAAACAATACAAAACAAACAAGCAACAATAATAACAAAAGGAAAGTTTTTCATAGAATCAGAGAGTTAGAAATCTCTAAAAAAAACTGAGGTCCCAAAAAGTTAGATAAATTTTGAAGGGCGTTTTTTATACTTTGCTTCTAGAAAAGAATGTGCTGAAGGAGACCCAGCTAATGACAGAAACCACAAATTGGAAGCCCAGGATGCCTTTTTCAAGGGGCTGAGCTGGATGGCCAACAAGAAGAAAGCAGATGAAAAACAAATTATTCAGTTTTTTTTGTTTTCCAGAGGTTTTTCATTATAAGAATAAAAATATGTGCCAAGCAGCATTCAATGGGCAAACTTTAGATCAAAACTGGCAGGGTTAATAAAGTAATAAGGGGACAGAGTGAAGGATCTTGGAAACTCATTGCATTGAACTAGACCAACCTTATTGGCAAGGAGTCTTTTTGAAAGTCTGAGACCCCCATCAAATCTTAAAGGCACAGTGCCTTGATCCAATACCTGACTCACAGAAACCACGGTCAACAAGCTCGCCAAGGATTTCTCATGAGGGATTGTTACAATGAGAGAGAGCCAAAGCATACGACGGCTATGAGAGAGGTATTAGTAAATAATTTCTATGATCTTGGGTGCCTTTTACACAGGTGTGTTCAAACAGAATGCTAAATCATAAATTACATACTTATGATTTGTGTACTTTTCTACTGAATAAGTAAAATAAAAATGTATTTTTAAGGCACACACACACACACACACACACATATATATTATGTGACAGGCATAGAGAAAATACTCTGGGTCACAGAGAATTCTTATGCTATTAAACAGGACTATATTTTCTAACATGGAAAGTTGCTGAAAACATATGGCTAAGTCAAGAAAGTAAGCTTCAGAATTGTTTATAATATGATTCAATTTTTGTGAGATAACAACTACTACTACTGCTACTATTACTCCTACTACACACACACACACACACACACACACAACATAACAAAACAAGAGGTTTTGTACCAAGCTGTCAATATACGAGAGTGTGGTATTATGGTGTATGTTAATATCTTATTTTGTGCATTTCTGTATTTGAATTTTGATACAAAGAACATGTGTTGTTTTATAATCAGAAAAAAATAATAAAGGCATTCCCATTAAGAAGTAGAAATAAAATTTAATTGTAGCACATGCAGTGAAAATGCTCCTGGATTTTAAGCCTAGAACTTTCTTCTCCCCATCACCCTCCTGCTCCTCTGCTCCTCCTTCTTCTATGTTGTCTGTACTTAACACAGACCTTTAAAATGCTTGGTTTGGGGCCGGCCCGGTGGCACACTGGAGAGTGCGCCACTTGGGAGCGCGGCGGCGCTCCCGCCGAGGGTTCGGATCCCATGTGGAGACCGGTTCCCGCTCACTGGCTGAGCGCAGTGCGGGCACAACACCGAGGGTTGCGATCCCGTTACCAGTCAGTAAAAAAAAAAAGACAAAAAGGAAATAAAATAAAATAAAATAAAATGTTTGGTTTGTACCATTTCTTTCACAGTTTTAGATTCCCAAGCTAAGGCAAGAAAGTCCATCTTCCCGATAGGGCTTAGCCACACTTTGAGTTAAAGTTGCATTTGACAGGATGTCATAAATGTTCCATTTAAGAAATAAGAGTATATCCCTCTGCTATAATCCTGGTCAAAGGGAAATTGAAAATGAGTGAGAACCAAATCAGTTTAACTGACAATAATTGAAAGATTACCAGGCATTTCTAATCAGTACCAGATTACTGTGGCAAATAAATCAAGAAAGCTGCTATTTTGGCTTCCCCTGGAGTATAAATCCATATGTTGAATGTTTCCTGAATGAATTGCATTAGAGTTTTAACTATGATTTAAGTCATCTTCCTGAATTTGAAACAGGTTCTTATAGCCACCTAACCTTTTGTTGCCTGTCAAAAGTTAGATTCAGGTCTGTTACCTTTTTAAGCAACCCTTTTAACAACTATTACAGGCTTACATGTTCCAGACCCTTTCACTATTGTCTGCAACTGTCTATGATAATATCAGCACCCACAATCAAGCACATTCAAATGGTAAACCTGGACTAATTTCCCATCTTACTATAACTTAATAGATGGGAATTGAAAAGTTAGGAACCCAAGAAATATTAATGACATATCTTATTCCTGATATGAATTTGAGGCTCTGAAATACTGGCACTGTTTTGGCTGGATTATGCCATTTCATGTTCAGAGATACTGTTAAAGTGTCTACAGCTTCTTGTCTGCTCAGAATCTCTCTATTTTAATTGCCAAAATTTAGTAAAGGCTAAATAACGACTATTTTCTTGTTCTAAATGTGAACATGACCATGGTCATACTCATAAGGAACTTTTGACAGAGGCATTCTGTGTCATGAGGCTGAGTATCTCAGAATACTACATCCTATGGACACATCTGCCACAAATCAGAATTGGAACTGAAGGAGCCCCAGAACTTGGTTCAACGTGCCACCCTGCTCCTGAAATGGCCAGTGAATGCACAAATGAACCTTCTGAATTCTGAATCCTATGTATACCAAAGATTTCTTCATCTAAGCCTCTGGCGTCAATCTTCCAAGTAGATATGTCAGCTAACAGGATTCCTAAGTGCCAGTTCATGCACTTAGAGTTCGAACTTCTTCCTTTGGGTTCCCTATTTCTTAATGAATTTAAAGCTTTCTTACTTTTTTTTAGCTGTCATTAGGAACAATAATGAAAGTCTATAAAAATTAGGTCTATGTTGCTTTATATTAATAAAATAATAGTATAATACAACATGCTCCACAAATAAATATTTGAGGAAAATGGCATTCTTCTGCATCACCACTTTTTGGCTTTTAGTTTCATTTAACAAATGTTTACTGAATGGCTCACGGTGCCAGAAGCCAGACAAGCGGGACCTACAGTGTGTCTGACGTCAAGGGCCTTTCAGAAATGTATTTTTCCAGGTTCTTAAATCATTATTTTGAAAGCTCAAATGAGTAAACACAAAAACTCAGCCATAATTTTATTTTTTGCTTCTGCGTAATGGCTAATTATATAAAAAAAGTTTATACAAAATCTACAAACTTAAAAAATAAAAATAAATAAATAAATGCAAGTGCAGGGAGAAAAGGAAGTCCAGGGAAGAACTATTATCAAATGAGCTCAGACTTGATCTAGAATAGAGGCTGAAAAAGAGGATTTTGCCTGTGATGTGTTACTGTTTCATTCCTATAATAAATGTATCACTCCAAGTTTACTCAATGACTAGTGTAATTAATCATTCTTACCAACCAACTTTGTCAACCATCATTTCCCCTCAATACAAAAGAAAAAGAAAAAAAAAAAACCCTCAGAAATAGAAACTCTCAAAAAAGAAACCTGCAGATAAACCCTCTGAAGGCTTTGATGCCACACACACCATCACAGGGTTATTTATGTCTTAACCTCTGATGTGCTTGTGCATATCATAGATATCTACTAAAATCTGCTGAGCTGAACTAATCAACAGCAAGGAAGAATGGAACCCATCTTACCTCACATCAGGCTTCTTTAATGAGAGCCATGAACGTGTTTTGAGCTCTGCAAAGCAGTTTGCCTTAGGTAGAGAAATCAAAAATAATAAATAAATAAGCCTCCCAAACCCAAAACACAAAAATGGGATACCTCATCCACCTGCTGGAACTCAGTATTCCCAGAATACTTCTGAGGTCAGCAGATGGTTTGCCATCCCCACAATGCCCAGCATTTGAAGGTGACCAGGGCATGGCCTTAGGGAGGGCTGTCCATGCAGCTCTGTGACAAAGCAGCCTCACTCACATGTGCTTCAAAAAACCATTTGCATTAAGGATCCACTACTTGCTGATTACAAAGGGTGTCCTGCATGGTGATGGCTGGTGATGGCAGAGGACAAGACGCCTCTCTACTTAGCCAAAGGAGACATGTGTAGTCACAAAAAGATATTGAAGAATCTCTAGGGGGCCAGATCACAAATGAGCTAAAACACCCAGACTAGGTGTATAACCAAGCAAATTAAATATTATCTGGATGACTATTATTATTTTGAGGGTGCATTGGGCAGCAAGGCTACATTAAGAGGTAAACCTTTTAAGAAAAGACTGTCACTTATCTTGCCTCTTTTTCTGTTGACAGGCAGTTGTCAGAACAATGAATCCAGGACATCTGAAGTGCAAATCACCCGAGAAGAAACATCTGGGGGAGTGGCCCTCCAGGCTGGCCCGGGACCGAACCGCTGCCCGTGTCCCGCCCTTTGCACCTACCTGTCCTGTGGACGGTGCCAACAGCGATGGCTTTGAGACCTCCAGCTGTCGGATCCCATCATCGACCACAAAGAACCACCGAAGCACGTACTCAGTTCAGCAGAAAATTTTCCGAAGGAAAACGAACGGGCAGAGGAAATGAAGGACATTAGGAAACAGACCCCGTCTCTGGAGTCTCATACCAAACCGTCGCCGGGCGGAGGCCAGGCATCCGGCAGCGGGACGCGCGCAGCACAGCCGGCAAACCTGTCCTCGACAAGGGTCCTGCTGCTGCCCAGAGGAAGGCACGTCACATACCCCCTCCTAAATCAGAACTCAAAGTGCCCCATCATCTACGCACCTCGACAGGGAAACGCAGGATGCCAGCGTCTCATCAGATCCGGGAAAAGGGAGAGGTCGCCGGTGCCGTTCCCTACTGGGTTTCTGGAAACTCGAGAAACCACCGCTGGGGAACGAGGTGTTCAGCGCCAGGTAAAACTTCCCCGGATTTGGAGCCACCCGAAGACGGGTGAAAAGAATCACGCGAATACCGTAAGGTGCAAAGCCGGCCGTCAGCGTGCGCGTGGCGGGTCCCCAGGAAGGGACAGATGACCCTAGAAATTCAGATAAGCGCAAAACAAATACAGAAGGACCACACACCAGAAAGGCAAAAACAAGCAAACTGCACCTAGAAGCACACTCTGCAAAGTGGAAACTGTCTACACCGGCACGGAGGAATCAACCTCTGCAGCCGCGGACGCGAGGACAGATCTTTCCGGCTCCCCGTGTCCGGGACCAAGGCAGGTCATCCCGGTGCCAAGGACACGGCGCGCCAGGCTCCTCGCGGCTCCCACTGCAGCCCGCGGCATCACCCGGAGCCCCGGGCTGCGGAGGCTGTTCCGGGACCCTAAGGACGCGGCCGGCACCGAAAGGGATAGATTCGGGGATGTTGCAGACCAGGGAGACGCGGCTCGGGGGGCAGCGGAGCCTCAGGGACCAGGCGCGGGTCGGGAGGCCCCCCGCGGAGGGCGAGCCCGCCCCCAGCGCGCCGCACCCCGGGGGTCGTCAGCTCCCCGCTCCGCTGTCCTGGCTCGCGGGCCGCGGCGGGA